ATGTAAATAGTTTATGTAAGTGGCCTGTTTTTCTCGCTTTTAGATTTCCTTTTTTTTTCTCTTTTTTTCTCTCTCCAATTATGTAAATATTTTAATGAACTCACGGCCCTTTGAAAAACAGATGTACTTCTGAAAGGCTACCGTGATTAAATAAGATTAAATAATAATAATAATAATAATAACTTCCGCGGACAATTTAAGAGCTATAGCAGGGATGTTATCAATACCGGTAGACTTTGAAATTTTAAGATTACGTAATTGACAAATAATATCATCCATACTAATTTCAGAAAACTTAAAATTTATATTAGAGTAATAGTTAGAGTGGTAATTTTCATCATCTGAAAAGTTCGTACATGGAGAATCGTTCTCAATTTCATTAGCCAAATTTAAAAAGCAACGCCAGCAGTCATATGTCAATACAATATGTAATCATTTTCCGATTTATCGGGAGGCAAATGGAAAGTACATGTGCAGACAACATGAAACTTGCACAAACATTTATCAAACTCATGTCACAGAAGTGGTAAAGGACATGTGTGACAACTGAATGGTATCCTTTTGTAAAGTTTTTGGTCAGGGGTGATCATGGGTATTTATATTAGTTAATTGATATTTGATGTTTTAACTTTTTAATGGTTGGTCAGCCAAATGTTTTCCAAGAAGAACATTTCTCTTCGGTGCAGCATAATAACAGGAATGGTTACCTCTTTCATTGCCATCCGCTGCGCCTGCAAATGCCATAGCGTCAACAGGTTTTGCATTTTCCATTTTCAACGAGTTTTCTAGATTTTGTTCGTGACTTATTTGATCATTGACTTTTGGACTGATGGCTAGGGAAAAAACAAGAATACAAACAGTGATAGTTGCAATCTCGTTCCCAGGGTCTTTCCTCTTATGGAGGCGCGAGCACAGAGGAGAAAGCCTGGAAACAAGGTTGTGCAGATTTTAGGTATAAATTAGATAATACTTTACAATAGACCCTTTGCACTGACGTCACAAATCCTTAGAGTGTGATCCAGATGCTACCTAACAATATCTGTTCGGGAACAACAACCACATACAGCGAAAAAATTAACCATTTTAATACAAAATTATTATAAACTTTTACAAAATTTGCTTTGTTTACAAAAGTTATATTATGCATAGATTTGTCCTCCAGATGCATCGTTACTGGCGCTGTGACGTCAAGTGCAATGGGTCTATATACATGAGCCGGTTGCACTGACGATCGCCAAAAAGCGCTAACTATACTCAATCGTTGTAAAATGCTGTAAAACTATAAGGATATGGACTTCATGCACCTTTGTAAATACTAAAGTTTAATACTTTTTGTGTGTGTTGGTGTTATGTACTCAGGTGAATATGATGTTTGTGATGTTACTCTGAGTGTGCATCCACACTGGGCAAGCTGAAAAATTCGCTTGGCCACGGTGGGAATCAAACCCGCGACCTTTGGGATACTAGTCCAACTGAGCTACGAGGTCAAATCGGTTCCAGTTGGTGATATTTCGGAACTAAGTCTATAGTTCCTTTGATATCAATGTACATTACACCAACACACACAAAAAATGTCATATCTTACATTGATATCGAAGGAACTAGACTCAGTTCCGAAATATCACCAACTCGAACCGACTTGACCTGGTAGTTTAATTGGTAGAGCATTGGACTAGAATCCCAAAGGTCGCGGGTTCAATTCCCACCGTGGTCAGGCAAACTTTTCAGCTTGCCCGGTCTGGATGCACACTCAGAATAATACCACAAACATCACTAAAGTGTAATTTGGATCATACAAATTAACGGAAAATTATTTTAGAAAGCTCGGAAAAATGACTATGCGATAGATAGCGCGCTATCTGGTCTTCATACATCCACCTATGATACATTTACTATACTCTTGCGTTCTCGTAAAAATACACTTTTCCTTGTCGACAAAACTTAATATGCAAACAACTGTACTTACAATTCATTTTACTTAAAATGTCATCAATATTTTTGGGATCACCAAAAAGCTTCCCACTTGGTGTAGAGGAGTAATCTGAAAAGAAAGATTTTTTAAACATATATATTCTTAACGTTTGCCCAAGAGCACTAGACTCAGGGGTAGAAAAAGTATCGGACCACGGGACCATTGGTCCCAGAACGTTTTCTGAGAAGAAAGAAAAAAAGATTATTATAAGATAAAGATTCTAACCAATAGAAAAGATATTACCTGTACTTGTAGGTATGCCCTAGGAAATGCAATTATCAAGGATATCTATACTAACCAGGCTCTTCGTCATCACGGGATGTTGATACTTCAGGCGTCACAATATTTCCAGTTTCATATTTGTACTCATCAAAATCTACCAATGAAAGCAGTGACGTACATTAGAAAAGCAGCGGGGTGGGGAGGGGTACTGCCCGCTAATAATTTCTACTGTACGTAAAATAGTGCCAGACATCGGCGAATAACGGTCGGACATCGGACATTTTCCGAGCAAATTACAATTGCAATAAGTTCTCTTTTGACAGACTGCATGGGTTAACAATAAGCTCAGTGAAAAAAATGATTAAAAACCTAGTAAATAATGCCTCAAATTTACGAGCAAATTTTCTTATTTTTTTGAGTAAAGTAAATGTTTTCTCAAAACATCGACTAAAGCTGACCAATGATCGCATTTGTCAAATATAAATTATCGCTTTAACCATACTGTCTAGTGGTGTTTAGCGTAAAGTATTTATTGATGAACCCAACAAAGGCCTGCAGTAAAAAACAACCCATAAAATTTGATCAACCAATCAAATTTGAAGTTTAATTCCGACCAAATTTCATGTTGGTATAGGACATTTTTAACAACATTATTTTTCCTACCTGAAAAAGATTTGTCTCCCGGACGTGTGTATATAAGGTTCCCTGCATGATGCTTACCCTCTAAAAAACAGAAAAAGTGTAGCATTTACTATCAATAATTTTTCATTACGCACCTTCATTTACAGATATTTTTATAAGAGTAGTTTTAATCAGAGTAACAATCGGATTAACGTGCAAGCTATATATGAGCATATCTCCCCAAAACCAGTAATATGCTCATGAGCATTCTCATGAGGATACTGGATTTTGGTACATACATGAGCGTGCTCATGAGCATACCTTATTTTGGTAGGTAAATTATAGTTTCAACGAAGAACCCAATCATACAGAATATCCAAAGTCATTCAGACATACCTAGATTGTCCTCTTCTCTTATTTTATCATCTAAAACAAAATGAACGCCAAATCAAACAGATTCTAACATTATAACCACAAAATCTTAATATTCAAGAATTTTGGTAATACTTTTAAATGATAGAAGCTTTCGGAATAAAATAACGGCAGAATATTTCGACAACCTAAATTTGCACCCGGAATATTTTACGAACTGTAGGCCACTGCAGATACTGCTATAAGCCCAGCCCATAACATCTCTTACAAATAAGGATCGCAATATCGTAAGCCAATAGAAGTCGAACTCACCGACTTCAAGACATTCTTCCAAGAGTTTCATATCGTTGTGACCTTTTCTTGCTAGAATTATCTTGTACGGCCTATAGGATATAGATCAGAAGATGTAGGAAGTTGGTATGGTCAATGGTCATGTAATAAGAAATTATGAAGGAGAGATTACGAAATGAAGAGATCAGAAGAAGTGTGTTCAGTTGGTAAACATCTCTAACGTCTGTAGTCATGCGTGAACTATCAAAGAGTTGACGGTGAACAAAGATGCAAGACAGAAATCCGAGCAGTCCCCAGGCTGCATGGATTTATCTTGGACTATGTTAGTGATAAAGGAGAAAAAAACTGCTTGACTATACACTGTAGGAAAAATGTGAAATTCATACTATGAAATTTGCAATTGCACCACTAAATCAACAGTATATCCATACTATTTCGATACTATATCCATAGCATGGAAATATACAATTATTATGGATAATCAAAATCCATTCTATTTCCAATGAAGGTCCATACAATTCCATTTTATGACCTATGGATTTTCAATTTTTTTTTTAAGTGCTAGAGCAAAACCCAACACCATTGTCAAAATAAGATTGACCTAAGCCAGACTCAAACCTCCATGTATATCAGCCTATCAGCCGTTCAGTCTATATACCGGACTGATGGTCATCACACTGAGGAATTGTACAATTATACTCCATAACCTTGACTTAAAACTTACGATTTAAACGCTTTGACAACTGTTCTTGTCGTATCGACAGGCAAACCATCACGATTATATATAATTCCATTTTCTTCAATGCTACTTTTCTTTGAACTATGAAGGTTGTTCTTCGAAGGATGAATGGTAAATCTTTTGGTTGCGGACTCCTGAATGACGCTTCTCAATGCTCCATTCTTGGGAGTGCAGCGTAAATTCGCAACTGAAATGGTAGATAAGCAAAGTTTGAAAACAAATATCAAGATATTGCAGGCATCTCGTTCGATTGAATAATATAGTTGATGGGTTTGTAGATGGAAATTATCGAGGGTAAATTTTATATACATTTTTACACCATTGGGTCATACAGGCAGTATATTTATTCCTTCAGAAACATGAGGAATGGTGCGTTATAGTACAGATCTGGAAAGAACTGTTTACTGTTCCCCAGATCCTGAATTTGGATCCAAAAAAAACAATGGAAAATAACGAGCTTAAGCGTGAATAAGCTTTCGTTGATAGGCATGCAACTAGCTGAGAATATACAGGGTGAATAAAAAAAAACTGAACAGATTTGAAATTGCTCTCAATTTCGCAAAACACCTATTTATATCCGGTTTTTTATATATATAGCTTCTTTGGGTACCTATAATGTAGAATAATGAAAAAAATTTCTCGAACTCAAATTTTGTGAACCAGGGGGGTGTGTCTTTTCCAACAAATTAAAAATGGCTCGCGCACAAAATTTAAAAGTTGTAATCATATTTTGAGTTAATAGATGGAAACTTTGTCGGGGTTTTAATTAATGTACAAAATTTCAGATAATTTGGTTTAGTTTAAGCCCTTTAACTATTCACGCAAAGTTACATTTTTCTTAAAAATCAGCTATTTGCATGCTTAATTAATGCCTTGGTGATTGCTAGATAGTATACTTCAAAATAAGATTTCCGTTTTTATAACGTAGAAAAAAACCATCCTAACGCAAAACTAAACCCTAACCCTAATACTAACCTTAACCCTAACCCTAACCACAACCCTAACCTAACCCTAACTCTAACCTAACCCTAACTTATTTAAAAAATGATATAAAAAGGGAAATCTTATTTTGAAGTATACTATCTAGCAATTTCCTTAACGCCTTTGCCTAATTTGCATATGTCAGCAATATGCAAATTAGGTAGAGGCATTAATTAAGCATGCGAAAGGCTGATTTTTTAATAAAATGAATAGTTAAAGGGGCTTAAACTAAACCAAATTGTCTGAAATTTTGTACAGTAATTAAAACCCCGACAAAGTTTCCATCTATTATTAATATGATTACAGCTTTTAAATTGTGTGCGCGAGCCATTTTTAGTTTGTTGGAAAAGACACCCCCCCCCCCTGGTTCACAAAATTTGAGTTTGAGAATTTTTTTTCATTATTCTACATTATAAGTACCCAAAGAAGCTATATATAGAAAAAAC